TCTGTCTGTATAGGACATCTCGCACTTGTTCGGATCCTCTTTTAAACTTCTAGCAACAGACTTCTGCATGTGCGTAAACTGCATTGGGTTGAGTACTGTTTCCGAGCGTCTGAGTGGTCGCCCCATTGCATATGGACTACAATTTGTGTACTGCCCCCACTCTGCAACAGTCTATACTCGGGGTGATATTACGGATGATATATATACGTGTATGAAGAATATTATTCCACTGTGACATCGCGGGGGCAGTACCCAAAATATAAAAAACCTTGCGCATGAAGTGCCTCCAACGTGTCGGCAGCCGTTAAATACGGGGGGGAACAGCACGGAATTCTGGCAACCTACTTTGAAACACTCGGTAGAAGTGCTTTTGACCCAGCTGAGGCAAACCTTCTTCATGCAGGAGCTTGAATGACTGATTCTCATGTCTCGTATTGGATGGTTTCACGTTTGGTGGTCCTCTAAAATCTCCCTTGAAATTCCGGCACTCATCTACCGGTGACCTTTGCTCCTTGACTGATGGTAAGTTGAGATTGAGAAGTCCCATGGACGATAAGTAGCAAAAACAACGAAATCCATCTCGGCATTTAGTTGGCCAGCCAAATGCCAACATGGCCTGTGGGGATACCATCGAAAGAGGTCCGGTCGGTTTTCTGCGGGCAAAATAAAGCGAAACAGGGAAGAAAAAACACAATATCCAGAATATGAGCAATAATGAATATGGCAGTTACACTAACCGTACAAATACTAAAACATAGCAGATACAGCAATAACAGTCATATCATGAACAGTAACAGTAATATCAAGAAAAGCAATGACGCTCACAACAATAATAACAACAATACGAATAGCAATAGTAGTCATAACAGTACTCCTAGCGGTAATATTAGCACCAATATTACGAATAAGAATAATTGAAGTAGTCATCCTAATTGTAACGTCTTTGACCTTATCGCAGGCGCAAGCACTGGCAGCCTTGCACATCCAACAAGCAGCTTGAGGAGACTGCGGCTTAGGGGTTAATTAAGGCTTGGGGCTTGGGCGCTAGCTTCATAGGGTTCAGGAATTTGGGTTTAGGGCTAGGGTTTTCGGGGCCGAGGTAATCTATCCTATGTCGGCCCAGTGTCGTGCTGGCGTCAGATACAAGCCCAGAATAACGATTCGGCACCAATGTTTCAGGCAGGACCGCTTGACGAGCAAGGAAGCGCAAGCAGTGAGGATCAGAAGGATCAAAGACAGCAGCAATGGTACCTTGGCTTCCGCTCGCATGCTGCTAGCAAGCTTTCGGCCGAGTGATTCCGGCAACTTTGCTGTCACTCAAGCACAGTTTGGGCTAAAAGCTTCAAGCTCTCAAGCTATACAGCACCCGTGCAAAGAGATACGGTCGTTTCGCAGAACAGGGGGGCCTAATTTAGACCCAAAAAGCTGAGTCCTTGTTCGAGGGATCCCAACAAGCCGTACTCTTCGTTTTGGGGAGCCGTAAACCCACAAATCCCTGTACTACCCAAGATACCCCACATACGGCTCTATAGAGCCTATAACCTCCCTTGAAAGGTATCCCTAGTTTCGGGGAGCCCGGCATGATGCTGCAAGGAAGGCTTCAAACCCAGGCCGTCGCATTCGAAGCCTTGCGGTGCTAGATTTACTTAGGTGGCCTCCCGGTCACTAGCAAGCATGATGGCGACTTTATTAGCCCTGAAATATGAAGCCGAAGTGCTAGCAGAAGCTAGTTTTGGAAACAAAGGTTTCTCCCGTCCGTGCCTTGACCTCCGCTGTCTGCTCTGCGGCATTTTTGAGATAACACATCTGAAAACAGTCAAACGCTCAGTCGCCTTCTGTCTGGTAGAGCCGGCTGTATGGACAAGTCCTGCCCCTTGGAGAAGTCCTCTCTTGAGTGATGCCCCAACTGGCTCAGTGTCCAAGTGGCCGCTCTTGACATGCCCTCAGCCAAAGGCAGATCTTGGAGCGATGCTCGAGCCTCATAGCTCGTACGTCGCTCCATTATGCACCATTGTTGCTCTTTGCTCAGGCACTTGGCCCGAGAAGATCGCCTGCTCCACGGTCCATGTCCAGCTTTCACTGTAATTCGGCTATGCCATTGCTGTCTTCCATTGTAACTTGGCTGTGCCATTGCTGTCACAACTGCTCAGGCACTTGGGCCTGTTTCTTTAGTTCGACCTTGCAAACGAGGCTCGACTTTCTTCCGCTCACCTGGAACACCACACATCAAATTTTCCCTTTTCTGTAGTGGCTGAAAACGCACCAGGTGCGTGGTTTGGTCTCTTGTTGCGGAAGTGTCTGCCTGGGCACACAAGCTAGACGCCAAACAAGCTTGCACGCAACCCTAGATAGTCTGGCTGTACCATTGTCGCTGGTGCTCAGGCACTTGGGCCTCTTTCTTAGGCTCAAAATTGCAGAGCGAGGCTCCCATTTAGATCGTACTCCTGGAACACTACATGTCCGGTTTTATGAGGAAGCAGCTTGTTGGGTGAAAAGAGCACCAGGCGGATGGCTGTGCTTGTGTGTTGAGCGCCCATGTCTGCCTGAGCGCAAGCAACGTAGCACGCCAAGCAAGATTGCACGCCACACAACCCGGTATCTTCAATGACTCCGCGGAAGCCGCTTGCAATGCAAGACACCATGCAAGCATGAATTCAGCGAGCGAAAAAATTGTCGAGTCATCCTCACATCCCAAAACGCTGCAATCCTTTTTCAAAATTTTCCGTGGTCCATATTGAACTTCGATTGTAGTCTGGCTGTACCATTGCTGTCGCTGTTGCTCAGGCACTTGGGCCTCTTTCTCAGGTTCAAAATTGCAGGACGCTCCAGTTTTGATCGTACACCCGGCAGGTGGTTTGGCTTATCTATGTCTGCCTGAACATAAGCAACGCTGCACGCCCAACAAGCTTGCATGCAAGACAACCCTCCATCTTCGATGACTCCGCGGAAGTCGATTGCAATCTAAAAGCCATATAATCAAAAATTAAGCGAACCACACAAATTGTGGACTCATCCTCACATCCCAAAGTGTTCAATCCTTTTTTTAAACTTGGCTGCAATCAGAGATTGAGAAAAGAGATCTACTTTGTATCCAGTGCCATGCAATTCCAACACGCCCTGACCGGACCACATCGCGCAAAAAGACTTAAATTATTTGACGCCGTTGGCTCTCACAAGCCTGGCATCCCCCCAATTTAGGACAAGGAAATGATTGCGATTACGTCTCTGCCCCTTTTGCAATCATTTGCAGAGCTCACCCCAAGTTGTAGTAGGAAACTAACCCTAGTGGCCCACGCTATATCACTTCAAGGACATGCTTGCATTCAGATTCATGCTTTTCGCGAAGAGAAACCTAAAGCAATCTCAGACTTGAACTCCTCAACTCCTAAACCGGAGCCCTAACATCCGTCATCAACTATAGTAATCCTCAGCTGTCCTCTGATATTCCTATTATGCCATTACTACGGAGTGAGAGGTCCGCCTAGACTGCGGCTACTGATATAGTGACCCTACAGGATGTACCAACTGCTGCTCCTCGATGCTGCGGCTGCGAAGCCACATAGACAATTGTCCCTCTGATGACTTGTGATATGCAGGAGTTGTGTTAAGACAGAATCCGATTCCTTATGATGAAAGATCTTCAAGTCAATACCCCGCTTGAAATATCTGCCCTGCCGCAATTAAGTCCCAGTCTGCAAAGCAAGCCCCTTTAGCCGAGTTTGTGCTTGTATCTGTTTGACTGGCCAGTACTGAGACTGAAGCGGATCCTTTGTCAAAGCCAGCCCATGCAGCATCGCGGTAGTAAACCGTTTAATCTAGGTTGCTGTTGAGGAACTTAAATTACGCTGCCATATTATGGGTATAAAGTAAATAGCAGGATTTCCATATTGTCATAACTTAATGCAAGTTCCTCAACAGCAACCCAGTAATGCGGCCTGCCTAGGTTGCTTGTTCTGTTTCTGGTTTCAAGGCTCATCGGCCTGTAGGGCTTGAGCGTGTGCGTTTAGTCTCCGGGATGATATGTATGTATGAATCTATGCACATATAGATATCAAGGTAGACACTGACCGGGCCACAACAAACACACTTACTGGCAAAGAGTGCTAGGATGCTGGTACTCGATACGTCAAATCAGGCTCGACAATTTCATGTGATGGGCTGTAGTTACCTTTGCTTAGTTACCGCAGTCATAACCCATACTTACAACAGAAACCGAGTAGGACTCTTCCAACAACCCTAAACCCTAAACTGCGGTCCCAGAATTCCCAGCTGGGCACAGGGAAGAGCAGGCAAAGGACGGCCGTGACGCAGCTTCCGTGCTGCCGTTCAGAAAGCCGCCGATCTATCCACATGAAGACCTGAAACGATAATGGAGGTACCCGGTAATTTTGGGAAATCCTAGAGTCCCTATAAACCCTTGTAGACCCCGACTTTCCATTTTGTTTTCCATTTTCTTGTCCATTTGATTCTTCCTTGTCCCATTCGTACGCCTACATTTCCCTCGGGAGTTGCCGCGCCAGGCTGCGTCTCAAAGGATCCCAAAACACACCAAGTGTTTGGGGAACTCAGGTTCACCTCCTTCCTTGAAAGCAAAACAGCTCCGAAAGAAAAAGCCTCCCGCAACAAAAGCCTCAGGCAGCATCACATAATCTGAAAAGGTCCCCGTAGTTCTACTGGCCAGTCTAAAATCTTATGGCTGTTTCAACCATGCACCCTGGCACGGAGAGTCCATACTGAAACTTAAAGTTCGGCTACAGATGCGAAGAACGTTGAAGAAGGCAAGGTAACTTTAACGCCAATGGTAAGAGCCACTTTGCATCTGAAAGAACACAGATTAAATGGGGCATTTTGTGGTAACCAGAAGGCCGCGAGCTCTCATTGCAAAGTTCTGAATTGTCTACGTGAGAACTCATTGAAACCACCATCCTCAAACGACCCAGATTTCAACAACAGGCCCCTGATGTTGAGACTCGTCGAACCTCGCTGCCGAACACGCCCACCAAAGGTAAGAGGCTCAAGCTGAGCACGCAGGGTGCGCTCAAGTGATCCGCAGAGTACTCGAACCGGTCTGGGTCCAGTGATCCCTTGCGGGACATACCTCAGCTGGCTCTGGCATGCCTAGCATACCAGCTCAGATCAACAACGTCTACATGTCTGCTTACGTTAGGCTTCCAAGGAAGGACAGCCTTGCGCATGGTCCACACCTACACTCCTTAAAGGGGGGTTATATAGGGGATTCTATAGGGGACTCTTTATAAGGGTCATCAAGGGGGACACTACGGGTTTAATACTTCCCCAAGAGTCGGTCATGCAATTCTAGAACAGTGCGGTGGGTTTTTGTGCATGTGTGGGAGGAGCTGCGAAAGCAAGGGCAATGGTCACCATGCCTTGCCTCATCTGCCCTGGATCTTGGCAGACCCATTCCGACAAGGAAAAAAATCTTTGACGCCAGACGAACATCCCTGCATGGATCCTCCTTGAATTCTCTTCCTGAACTGAATGGATGCGTGCAAGTCGTCAACTTGCCTGCATAAAACCCTCAGCTCAAACCCTCAGCCCTGCACCCTAAACCTTAAACCACCCCCAGTACAGCGTGCCACCAAACGTAGACCTCTTGTCAAACCCTGGGAGACCAATACGCCGGCGCTATGTCTACAGCATCCCTCTTCTAGGGAAAGCAACCCCAGCAATCCCTGCATATGCCCGGTTTCGGACTTGAAGTCGGCAACATCACTAATGTTGGTTTGGGGTTTAGGGTTTAGAGTTTAGGGTAGCAGCAGCTTGAAAATACACCTCTGCAATGACATGATTGCCACTGAGAGGTATGCAAACTGTTGTGGTAAGATTCTGATAGAAAGAATCCTAAACCCTAAACCCTAAACCCCTGTGTCTAACCAGATTGTACCCTCAGAATTCCCATCTTTTTCTGCAGCTCTCACTGACTTCCAAAGTCCTGACCTCATACACTTCATAAGACGCTGTACGCTACCTGAAGCCCAACAATTGCCATCATAATCTCTCTCTCCCTATAGATTTCCCATATATCCCTGTATATCCCTATGTATCCCTTGAACCCTAAACCCTGTATCTCCCCGTAGCTTGCCATAAAACAGCCGCGTCACATCTGCGCCACAGCCGGGCCCAGGGACGCTTGTGATGCTCCAGGAGCCTCAGGGATGCAAGGGTTTAGGGACTAGGGTTTAGGGTTTAAGGGATATACAGGGATATATGGTAAATCTATAGGGAGATATAGGGCTCAGGGATGCTGCGTATTGCAAGAAACTGGGTTTAGGGTTCAAGGGTTTAGGGTTTAAGGGTTTAGGATTTAAGGGTTTTAGGGTGTAGTGTTGAATATCTAAGTTAAGTTGCCATCAAATGGGTAAGTAGGTTTAGGGTTTAGGGTCTAGGGGCCTCTGAGATGCTGAGTATTATGATACAACTAGCAACAAAAGATCATTACATCTACCGGAGCCTCAGGGATGCGTCATATTGCAGGAACATTCATGTGGAGGAAGGCTTGAACCCTAACACCCTAAAATCCTCAACCAGCAAAAAGAACCTAAACCCTAAACTACAAGTAGTGCTTGGGGGTTGGGGCTTGGTTTGACCCCCGCCGCTTTCGTCAGGCATTGCCATGGCCCAAGCTGAAGCGGTCTTGTATATGATAGTTTCCCAAAAACTTAAGGACCCCAATATTCTATAGTCCTTAGTATTGGGATCCCCCAGAACGGTACCCCCAATTTTGGGAAACCCCCATATCCCAAAATCTACTGGCGTGAACTTTGCAACGTAAATAACTCGTATCAGACTCATTTCGCACATGCGGCTGCCGTGTACAATGCAGAGCTCGTTAAATAGTATTCTTTTTGCGGCTGGTTGTCCTGCATGCTGATTTACCAGCACTACCGATATCATAGCACACAACTTCTTAAGTAGTTGATCTTTCAGGCATTTGTGGATACGGCAGTGCCTCTATAAGCGTGATCTGCGAACGGTGCGAAACTGAGTCTCGTGATACAACTCGCCACAAACAATCATTACAAGTACTTTAGCAGCAATATTGGACCCATCAAAGCAGGTAGACCCTTTACCGGCTGCTTGACATGGCGATGTCTTGCCAGCATCGCGAAGTACAGTAGTACCTTACACACTCCCATTGGATTGATGTGGCCCCTCTGAACCAACAAATCAATCCTTGCCCCTGAACCCATCAGTACCTGCAGGGTTGGGAGGAGTTAGCACGTAGGTTAATAAGGGGGATAAGGAGCCTTACTATATGGGTTCGAGGGATTAATAGGCTGCTTACTAAGTCCCCCTGAACCTCCGAGTAGAAGTGTTCAAGCCCTAAACAAGAAATCCTGAACCCTAAACGCAATTCCCTAGACCCCAAACCCAATTCCAAACTGGACCAGGAACATCCTCGCCCTTGCTCTGGCAAAGAGCTGAGCGGCCTGATCTTGAAACCTGCATGGAAAGGTTGTATCGGGGGGCTCCCCCAAAATTGGGGTACCTTGAGAAGGGGTAGAAGTATACAGCGTTATATAGGGATTTACAGGGTGTAAGGTTTCCCAAAATTTGGGTACCTTTCTGCGGGGTAGTATTTTGGGCCTATGCCAAGACTCTTCTAGTACCCTTAATTGGGTATATATCGCCCCTGATAATGGGTCCCTAAGCCTTAATAGAGGGTAGCTGGAGGGTCCACATTCCTGCAGGGAAACATATAACACCAAGGGAAGCTTAGAACCATTTCAGTTCTTGCGGACAGGGTCTGTTTCCTTTGGGTGACTCGGGATTGAAGGCTTAGGGACACTGAGACTATCTTATATGGACTATGTGGAGCATTTAAGGATTGAAGTTGAGGTGTCCAGGGATTCCGGGTTTGTTAAAAATGTCGTTCGTTCAGGATTTGAGAGTTGAAATTTGGGCTTGGGGTTTGGGGCTTCTTCAATGCAGTGCAATAGGAGTTCACGGCCACAGTGCTTGATGATGACAAGAATGTTGGGTTGTAGGGGCCAAGGCTTGCTCAGAATCTTGGACATTTGGGACCATTGAGTCCTCTCACACAGGAGATGTGGAACTTAGCCCTAAACCCTAAGCCCTAACCCTATACCTGAGCCCTAAACCTTCAACCCTCGACCTTAAAGCCCTAAACACTATACCTCTAAACCCTGAACCTTAAAACATCAACCGCGAAACAGCTCCAGGTTTTGGCCCAACACCGCGATGAAAATATTCATGAGCACAACTGCCAGTCCGACGCTTGCTACGTAGAACATCCTGAGTTTGGAGTTTAAGGCTTGTAGGGTTTAGGGTTTATAGGATTTAGGGTGTAGTGGTTAGGGGTTGGGGTCCCAGCCCAACAAAAAAATGCCGCAGGTCATGGAGTTGACGGTTTGAATGCTCTGACAAAGATGACACAATCCGCTTGGTTTCGCGTTATCCTACGACTCCAAGAAGGAAAATGGTGCTCGGGCACCTTTGCGGTGGTCTTCACTTCAGATACTGCACAAGGGGATGCGGTGGACCCACACCAAATGAACACTTCCCTAAAACGCAACGTGTAAACTGAAATCCAAGTTCAAAACCTTGAACCCCTCATTACAAACCCAGCATCAGGTGGACGTAGATGTAGTCTTGACCAGGATCTGGGTCTTGCGGTACCCATCCTCGAGACTTTGGCCCTAGCGTGTTGCATGCCCAGAGTCCTAACCATGAATATGAGTCCGCACAGTTGCTTGAGAATTTGATAGAGGGCATGCGAACAAAAGGGCATCGTTCTGACCATCAACTGGACATAAGTGTGATTGACAGGTTTGCGACTTGCATAGTGGGGCAGTGCATACATTGGATGCAGATTCTGTTTGCGTATCATAGCCGCTGGCTTGAACCGAAATCAGTTTATCTCGGGGATCCATAAACCCTAAAGGGAGAGGCTGGAGGCCACAGACCTCAGGATACTACCACAATCGAAATCCCCTCAGTAGTCATTATCCACACGGCTGTGCCCTCATCAAACAGGACTGCACAACTCCTGCATACATGATCCAAGCATCCCAGGGCACCCAACTTAAACAGGAGGATGATATCTGTAGTGCATTACCCATACCTAACACAACAGCAAGTGCAAGTACCCTCATACGAGTCTCTTCGATTCAAGCAAAGCTAAACAGCCGAGCATCTCTCAGACTCGCCGTCTATGATGCGGTCATATTCGACATCCTTCCCCTCCAGCTCGAAAAGGTTGAAATCGCCCATGATGCCAAGACGAAAGGTTTGAAGCAGTGATGCATAAATGGGAAAGGGATCATCGTCACGCAGCGACATTTGATAGTAGGCATGGGCCAAGGCTAACACACAGACCGTGGTAATAAAGAAGAAGGCAGCGGTGTCTTTGATTGCGGCCAAAATTGGGAGGAGTCTGGGTCCGAGCCACGTTTCTCCTCTCATGCTGTAAAGCATCCGAAGCCATGCCATCCCACTGAAGAAAGCAATCCACCGCTTGGCTACGGTGTCGTGCAAGTCCAGAATGCCCAGTTGCTGGCTGATCACAATTTGTCCCGTGATGCAGTACACAGTATCCAGCACAAAATCGCTGCTAGTGAAAACAGGTGCCTTGGTCTGATCTGGTGCCACTTAAGATTGCAACTGATATCCGCATCTACGCAAGGGCATACAAAGGTTGAAGCTTTTGCAAGAAGACCTAAAACTGCATTCGATCCTACATGATCAACTACAGAACCCGGATCCTGCCGAACTCACCACCAGCCAAAGGCACCAGCAAAAAATGATGCTTCCAAAAGGAAATTAGCTGCATGCTTCCTTCAGCGGGCTCTTCTGCAGAGGCTTCTGTCTAGACATGCAATATGTACTGAACGAACAGGTCGCCGTTGTGCCCTTTACCCACATGTAATGCCGCACTTTTGAATACATGTTGAATCCTTTTTTTGGCCACTCCAGCATTGCCTACCACAGCCGAATATTCCAGTGCATCCGATAATCAGGGCAACCATGCCCAGACCGTAAGTGTGTTCCAAGAGCATACGCGGTCCGCGAGCATCCATGCCCAAGCCGCATTGGCTTTCGTGTTCCCAGAGCAAACGGTCACCAGAGCACCCATGCCCAAACCATAATAACGTTCGTGTTCCGAGTGCATGCGGTTCCCAGTGCATCCGTGCCCAAAGCACAATAGAGTTGCGTTCCAAGAGCATATGGTCACCAGAGCATCCATGCCCAAAGCATAATGATGTTCGTGTTCCAAGAGCTACTGTTACCAGAGCATCCATGCCCAAAGCAGAATAACGCCCATGTTCGAATGCATGCGATTAACAGAGCATCCATGCCCAAAGCATAATAACCTTCGTCTTCCAAAAGCATACGGGGTCCGCGAGCATCCATGCGAGAGTCCCTATGATCAGCTCCAGCAAGACCGTCCCTGGAAGATGCTCGAGCTGTAGTCCTAAAATTGCCACAAACCATAGTGCAGCTTTTCCTTTTTTTGCTCTTTCTATTAGCGAACCATTCTCTCCTGCAAATCCTGGTCCCATCGGCATATGATCCGTTTGCTTCCCCTTCCATCTGCAGAGTCACACACCGTTTTCGGACTGTTTTGCCAAGATTGTCTGCGAATCGTTCGTCACAGACTCCCACAATACGAAACCCCCAACAATTAGCTCATTGGTTTCCGAATCAGCCAAGGCACTGCCTTCTGAAATCTACCCTGTGCGCATTCCATCAAGCCTAATATAGAGCCGGAGCATCCGCGGAAACATTCAAAAAGCCACTCAGTCGCCTCTTTTATATGGAGGATCGTCAGAACCATCACCACCGTCCCCGGTGGTATCACGGAGTTCGGAGTGCGATAATCGAGCGAGGTGATACACAGCATCAGCACATTCAAAATGTTCAGAAAAATGTCCATCACACTGGTCCAGCGATGCTGAACCCAAGCAGCAGAAAGGACAGCATAGACGGTGTCTGACTCCAGCGTTTCTTTGTTGGCGGTGGCTGCTAGGGCTTCCAGTATGCCTGAGGCATGTTGTGGGAACCAACAGTGGAAATTCTAAAGTCAACAGTTCTCAAGGAAACGAAGAGCCCTGACCCGACAATGTTCCAACCGTCCAGAACAACCACTACGCTTAGCAGGGAGAACCCTAGCATGGTTAGGTTTTTTTTTTTGCAGCTCCTCTTTTCCGTCTGCCGGGCATGGTTAGGGTTTAGGGTTCAGGGTTTGGGGGTTAAAGGCGCTTCAAGCTGTTAAGCTCCAGATGCTTGGGTAGCAGGCGCAATGCGCGGGAAGCCTGAGGAGCTTCACATCCACCTCCACAGGGTTTGGAAGTCTTGCTGGGATTACAACACCAGAAGGTTCAGGGTTCAGAGTTTAGGGGCGTTGTAGTAGATCTGATATCCTGGACTAACGGATCCCCCCCCCCCAACCCTTTGACAACAGCACTTGGACCTGCACCCGTGGATGCTCGAAGAGATTCTGATCCACCTGCGCCAAGTAGTAAGGTATCTCCTTACTTGTCTGGCCTTCTTGGCCAGAACTTACCTTCTCACACAAAGCAAACAAAATCTCCCTCCGATGGACATCCACCATGCTCGACGAAAAATGTGATAACAGTGCACAAGCCACAGTCATATGCGAGTGTGTCAGGGGTAGCAAGCACTTCACGATACGTGCCCAGGTATCATTAAACTTCCCATTCTCTAAACAAACATCAACCTTCACTTCATAACTTACGATTCATAACACTAAGGCCTGGCCTAAACTCTACGAACCGCAACGAACATGTATCCTTTAAGCTGCGAAGTTTCAGTCTCTTCCGCTGGGCTCTCTGTTCGCGAGGCGACCCTGCACCCAACCTAGAGCATGGCGTTCTGTGGAAACTCTGAAATGACTCTTGGAGCTGCTCTGTCTAAATTTGGCAGCCCCAAAAGATGAGATTTGACCCTACACCCTAAACCTTGGGTACTGCCTCTACCCAGTAACAGTCTATATTAGGGGTCCTATTAAGGGCTATATAGAACCATATTATATTTATTATCCAACTGTTACTGAGGGGGGGCAGTACCCAACCTAAACCCTAAATCCGAAGAATCCTAAATCTTAAACCCGAGCCCCAAGAATGGTGGAGCAACTCTGCCGGGAAGGCTGCACAGCTGCTCTCCATGGTCTTGGAGAAGGGCCTCAAATTAGTAGTTTCCATAAATAGGGTTTAGGGTCTAGGGTTCAGCATTTAGGGTTGAGGGTTCAAGGATTTGGGGTTAAGGGGCCCAAGTATGGAGAATCAAATGGAACCCTACTATACATATTTATAAATATGCACATATACATGTCTAGAAGGCTATATAGGATTATATGATAGTTTCCAGAAAGAGGGATACTCCAATATACACCCGAATACTCTAGTCCTTATTACAGGAGCCCCCAAAATAAAAGGTACCCTTTCTTTTGGGAACCCCCTGCAAATAACCCCGCAGATAAGATCTAACACTTAGGGGGTTGCTGTGGGGGAAGGTTAGGGGCTTAGAGCTCGGGTTGAGGACTTTGGACTATGTTTCTAGACTTTCGGTGCTGTCAGATTCCTCCCAAATGAAACCCGAATGAATGAGTACAAAGTGGCTGCCAGCGACATGGCTCGAGCTTAGCAGCAACGACAATTGAGTAGCCCTTTCTTCCTATTGTTAAAATATTCCTTATATATCTCCTTACTTTTTTTTGGGTACCATAGTATCCCCAAATAAAATACTACTCAGTTGAAATGCTAACTCCTATAACAATACGGAAAACCATGTTCGGACCTTTACAACTTTTGAACTTCTTCTCTACAGCTGAACCGCATATCCCTTATTATAGTACTCACCTATATAATCCCCTATATACCCTAAACCCTCAATCTAACTCCCTTCAAGGAGTTTAGATTATGGTTCAAATGAGTTGCATTCACGGCTTCTGTGGCTTGCGGACCCTCGGTGCACAGCAGGGCGCACAAGAGCTGGATGTCGTCCTACATGGAGTAGGAGGACCCCCCACCCTGTCATAGTGGCCCGTTATAGTCACTATTACAGGGTATGGGGTCCTCCTAACACATGGATGTTGAGCAAACCCAACACTGAATGCGGTCCCTTTGGCAGTCCCTCTGGCAGCCTATGAGAACATGGTACGCTGTTCCTGTTGCATGGGGACAAAACTCTTCTGCTGTACAAAAAACTTCACGATTGTAGCCTCGCAATGAATGTGGATGAGGCCTGGCAAGACTGAAAAACCACATTACAAAACAACTGATTCCTCCTGGTCGTGAAGCTGTGCCCCAGCGGCCAGTAGCATCGACACAAGATCGGCAGAATTCTCATGCAGCAAGGCCAATGCTAGCAGCGAGCAGCTGTGCTGCACATAGTTGGCGTCGCCTTGAAGTTGGTTTCGTACGGTATGGAGAGTCGATAAAAACAAAGAATACTTGAAGGGTCAGGGGGACTTAGTAAGCAGGCTATATATTGGTGTAACTAACACAATTAGCAACATATGCTCCATTTCGCGTTGTTTTAATTTTCTTTCGCATGAAGCCTGAGAATCGAGGAAAGAACAAATACTCACAATAGGGATAATAACGGCAATACCAATGGGAACAGCAATGATCGTAAGTTGTTATTCATATGATCAGTGTTACTATTGCTAGTAATCTTAACGATAATTGTGGCTTACAGGATCTACACCCCTAAACCCTAAATCCCTGAAGGCCTAAACCCCTAAATCCCTTAATCACTGAATCCCTGAACCCCTCAATCCCTAAACTGCAAAATCCCTAAATCCCTGACGCCCTAAACTGCGCGAACCCTTCAGCGCCTCCTTCGTCCAAGGCCTGCTCTAACTCCACCAAACCTTGAGGGTTTAGGGTTTTAGGGTTTAGGGTTTTAGGGTTTAGGGCTTAGGGTTTTAGGGTTTAGGGTTTTAGGGTTTACTTGGAGGGTCAGGGGGACTAAGTAAGTGGGCCAATGAGGAGGATAAATAGGGTTTCAACATGGGCTAGAGGGGTTATTAACCTACTTACTTAGTCTCCCTGACCTTCCAAGTAGGGTTTGAGGCATCAGGATATGGTTTAGAGTTCTTCCCTTATCGGAAAAATGTCCCTATTGCTCCTTGGGTGCCCAAGTTCGACCAAGGAACTGCCAGATCTCACCTCGACTGTGCTGAGACATGTGGGAATATATCTATACACATCTACATCTGATACATTTATGTATATGTATATGCGTATATACATGCATACATACTGACATATACGCTCATGCTTTTTGATTTAATCTGCAACATTCCAAATAGCGCAAAAGACTGCTGTCCTAACGTGGGTCCAGAAATATCTAACAAGTCATGCGGCCCTGAAGTCGTCCCACCCCCCTCACAGCCCACTCCTAACCTTACATCACTGAATTCAACTTCATTTGATATACCGAACTTCTCATTTTCCTCCCATAGAACCCTGATGGAAGGATCCCCAGGTCCAGGCACCGCGGCGTGCAGCTTTTCGTTCGGAGTTAAGCCCACAGCGCATTCAGCCAGAGGCAGGGGCGAAATGGCTGGCATTGCTCAGGTCTGGAGACCATCGTCACCCGATGTAGATGTTAAGACCTAGGGTTTAGGGTTTACGGTACAGAGGTCTCAGCTGCAGGGCTTTAGGCGCCTCAGCTACCTGGCATGGAGCTTAAGGGTTTCTTGTTGCTGCTTTTGTGCCTCAGATTCAATTCCTACACCTGACTGCCAATCCATGACAGTCAGGACGGTTCCTCGAAATATTCTTTTGTTACAGTTGCCAATGTCTTGTCACTTTGCCGCAAATCGACCTGTAGAACCAAATGCCCCGCTCCGCAAGTTAGGGTTAAACGTCTGGACCAACGGACGAGTACCTGCCACCCCAAACCAGACACGGCAAAAACCCTGACGGGGACACGGCTCGAAGGAAGCGTGCCAACGGAGCTACACTACTTCTAGGAGAGATAGTGTCAGCATTCTGTGCAACCTTGCAGGCCTCGCGGGCTTATCCAGTAATTGCAACTGTCGCGTGGTGTCTACACGTATACGGAGGCACCAAAACTACGGGCTATCCACCCCGGGATCCCGTCTACACAAGGTAAAGGCAAAGGGAATGAAATCTTCAAATGCACCCCGGAACTCATTGTTGCATACCTCCTGGTATCCGATCCTTCCTTCCCTTGACTCAAAAACTCTAAGCCCCTTGACACTGAAGCCATCGAAACTCAAAGAAGGTGCCAGACCTGCAGCTTCTGGCAGGCATGGTTGCCCGGACCTTTTTTTCCACAAGGCTTGGAAGATCTAATGCAAAGCTCATGGCTTCTGGATTAAAGAACCGTAAAAGGGCTCAGGCGTGAGAATGGTTCACACACACATGCAGCTCATGCTTCAGCATCTGATCGTTCAACGCACATCTACATGCTAAGGCGACTCAATAAACGGGCTGTTGCGATTTGCGCAGACTGCAATATTGTCCTCCTCTACTTTTGGGATTAAAAGTAGAGGGCCGATCTGGATTCTGCTAGGGCCTTAGTTGAAGCAGGACGGGAAACGAGCAGAGCTGCAGAAATCTTCTGTTAGTCACCACTGACAACCGGTTCAATTCAAAAACCATTGAAACAAGCGCGTTTTGAAAAAAGAAACGAAGCTGTTGCGAAGAGGTCCCCTGAACATAATCTGAGCATTAATAGGCGTACGCAACCCCTATAAGGCCTTCTGCCAGACTAGACAGCCCAGACACTTGACCTGTACCCAGACCCGATCCCAGCACTGCCTCAAATGCCCATACAGCCTCATGTAACCTCCATACTGCCCAGTTCACTCAAATCCCTCGAACGCCCTGCAACAACTGCGCTGGTAGGACAGAGATTGTCACTTGCTGCGCCTCGACGTCGCGGGCCATGGAGGGCTCGCTTCCGTTGTGCACTGAGCCAAGATGCATATCATAGAGCTTACTGGTGGTTAGTAGGGAGTAAGGGTCCCTATAGAACATATTCCCATGTGCCCTACTAACCCCCAGGAAGAAAGAGAGAAATTTGCAGCCATAAAGCATATTGCAATCATTCGCATTCCAACGAGAAGCTTGTTTGGGCCTTACTGGCTTCGGTTTTGGAGAATTGAAATCCCTGCATTGCTCTGGAGATTTTTCAAAGCGACTTGAACATCATAAGTTTCACGACATTGCTCTCATGTTCAGATGCGCAACCTAGAATCGAACTCGCTGATTCCTAGTTGTATTGCGAGTATGATCACCTTAATTAAGCTCTAAACCCTAAACTCCACTCTGAGAAATACTGCTACCACCAGTGTTGCTGAGATGTCCATTTGAAAGGATGCCTGCAGCCGCACAGAACTTGGGGTTTAGGGCTTCGGGTTTGGAAGCTCTAAACCTAAACCCTAGCACTTCAATCCCTTTTTGCAGCTCGGGTTCATCCACGCAGGCATTCATGACACAACAACCGAGCATGCTATGTAATCGCTGCCCTCTACATTTGGCACTGGCTACGCGGCCTTCAGAGTGTACCCCAGGGGGGGGGGAACGGGGGAAGGGAACTGTGGGGGGGAGTTCG